TTACAATGTCTCTCAAAATTTATGAATGGCTTTTTTTAACATAGAGACGTCCACAAATTTACTTGGATACAACCTACTAGGAATCTGTGCTCGATAATCAACTATGTAATTAAACGTTAAACTTCCCAGCTAAAAACAACTGACGTAAGGGTATACCGTGGATTTGAATGTGGATCCGACGTATCAACGTGATAGTTAACTATCGCAAAAACAATAACACTACAGAATATATAAAAGGGACAAAAAGTAACATTCCCTAAATATAACCTAGAAATAGGTAAAGAAATAATAAATAAGACTTACTCACAATCAATTTAGTTTAACTATCAGACGACCGGTTTCGCTTTCTACAATATGCAAAGCATCTTCAGGTTTTGATACAAAGTTAAATAAATGCTGAAATGATAAAAACTTATATTAGGGTGTTGTCTAATAAAGATAAACAAAGTAGATGTTGGAAATTAAAATAATTATGTATTACATGTCTGTGGTTTTGTAATACATGTAATATTGGCATAATTATTGTAATTTTTAACATCTACTTTGTTTATCTTTATTAGACAACACCCTAATATGGGTTTTTATCATTTCAGCATTTATTTAACTTTGTATCGAGACCTGAAGATGCTTTGCATATTGTAGAAAGCGAAACCGGTCGTCTGATAGTTAAATTAAATTGGATTGTGAGTAAGTCTTATTTATTATTTCCTTACCTATTTGAAATGGACTCACACAAACAAGACATTCATGATCATGATAACCTAGAGAGTTCAACGAAATTTCTTTACAAATTACTGGCCACAAAAATTACAAAATGTGAATCGAATAATATATCAGCGGAAAATTTACACCAGCAACTTAAAAAATGCATTTATGAGGCTGCAAGTGAAGCTTTGGGGTATAAAGAAAAACATGAAACAAAAAATCAAGAATGGTGGTCGGAGAATATGCAAACGTTAGTATTGTAAACAAAAGTTAGTAAACACGAAGAGAAATGAAGGAAATGGATGTCAATGAGAAAGAAGAAAGATTACAAGATGTATAAAATATTAAATCCAGATGTAAAAAGAGAAGTAGTAAAAAGTAAGAAAGAAATGTGGAATCGAAGATGTGCAGAGGTGGATATGGGTGGAAGAAGAGTTGGGCAAACGTGGAAAGTAATAAATTCTCTTCGGAGGGAAGGAAAGGAAAAAATCTAACTTACAGTTAATAGAACTAAAACAGTGGAAACACCATTATGAAGTCTTACTTACTGACAGAGGATAGATGTAAATTCAAAGAGATCGAAATGGAAAAAATATTCAAACATACACAAATAATTAAGATAACAACCGGAGAGTTAAGCGATGCCCTCACAAGATCGAAAAACGGTAAAGCAGCAGGACCTGGAGACATCCCAATTGAATTGGTAATGCATGGGCCAAAAATAGTACATGAGATGTTGGTTCAACTATTTAACAAATGCTTAAAAGAACAAAATATCCCTGATAATTGGAATGTTGGATACATCAGCTCAATATTCAAGAAAGGAGATAAACGCAAATCCTTTAATTGCAGGGAAATAACTATTATCAGCTTAGTGGGGAGGTTGTACGGTCAAATAATAAAAGAAAGAATAGAATCAGAATACGAATACATAGAAGAATAAAATAAATTTTCTGCAGGAAGATCGTGCACTGATGGTATTTTAGTTCTACAGGAGGTAATCGAAAAATGGAAGGCAAGAAATCTATATACCCACCTATTGTTTGTATATTTAGAAAAGGCATACGATACGGTACCGTTGAAAAATCTGTTTCAAACATTGACTTATATCTCAGTAGAGAGTATGTGGATGCTATCGCAAATATATACAAAAATGCAAGAAATATCGTTAAAGAAGAAAACTTTATATCTGAATCATTTCCAATAACATCTGAATTATTTTCAAGGGGCTTAAACAAGGATGTTGCCTATCTCCGACCTTATTTAAAATATATATTCAATCATCAACACAAATATCCGGAATAAGAATAGACATAGGCGGTGGTAAATAGTCGTAGCGAATGAAGAGAAAGACATGGAATGCATGTTTAGAAAACTAGAGAAAGAGTATGAAAAATGGGGCCTTAATATGAATATGTCAAAGACAGAGTATCTTAAAATTGGAGTTGATGAAGAAGATCCCAAGTTAGAAATTAGAAACACAAAAACATGTAATGAATATAAATATCTCGGATCTATAATATCTAAAGAAGGCACTACCAAAAGAGACATCGAAAATAGAACGCAGCAGAAAAAAAGCGGTCAACATTCTAAACTCTCTACTATGCTCTAAAGATATTAGATAAGAAACGAAATTTTCAATCTGTCGAACTTTGGTAGAGCCTATTGTGACTTATGGGCAGAACTTTGGCAGAGCACGCAAAAAGATAGAAAAAGAATATAAGTAGTAGAAATGGATTTCGTAAGGAGAGCGTGTGGTGTATCCAAAAAAGATTATATCAGGAAAAAAGTTATTAGAAGGAGGAAAAATAGTGTATATTCCAGTGTAGACATAAAATAGTACCATTGACCACCATCTTGTATTTTTTGAGACGTTATAATTCTTTGTTTTGTTCTAATCGTGTATGATTATTGATTTTTCACTTTCTTCGTGATGTCATCGTTGTCATGGAAAGAAGAAATTTTTCCTTTTTTTTGTGATATGAGAAGTTAAAATGCAGGTTTTTTGGAAGGCAAACATGTTTCAAGACACCAACCTCATGTCTGTTATCAACTGTGGAGATAGTTAAAGACTAATTGCGTTTGCTTATAGGGTCAACGAGCCGAGTTATTATGTCCACAGGGCAGTTACTCTTGACAAAAGGTCCTTCTGGTTGTACTTCCCCACAAACCTCCAATTTGGCAGTATAAAAAAACTTTTGCATTAGCCAGATTAAAAATTTTAATTTCGTACTTCGATGGTATTGAGGAAATAAATTGGCGTAACTGACATTTGCCTCTGAAGCCGTGTATCATCTCATCTATAGTTACTTATCCTGACAACAAAAAATTTGACACAGTTTTTCTAGTCACTAATTTAAAAATTCATGGATTTGACCGTTACTTGATGAAAATTCAATTTATATAACAATAATTCACAAAAATCTGGTATAGAAGCTAGTTTATCGAGAAGCGTCCTATCTGCATTGGTAGTCAGTTAATCGAAATGAAGATGAACCAATAGAAATTGAAAAAACCGCTAACGGGAAAAAGCAGTTTAAACTTCTTAAGGGAGTTTCCATTGAAGTAAGCATTGTGATGTATAAGCAAGATTTTCTATAAGTTTAAGTTTTGCTCTATTTAGAAGCTTATGGGTTGGGTCATTGGAAGCATTATATATTCGGTTGGGTCATTGGATGTTTTATGTATAACCATCGAAAACATCTACCTCCATAACCGAATACAGGCAAAGGTAAATGGAAAACTAATATAGTGTATATCAGTACAAGTGGATTCAGACAGGGTGACTCGTTGAGCCCACTTCTCTTTATTATAATAATAGACGAAATAATACAAGCAGTAAGTAAAGGTCACTGCTACAGAATGGGGAACAAAGAAATCCAAATATTATGTTATGCAGACGACGCCGCATTAATCCCCCAAACAAAAGACGAGCTCCAAAGATTAACACAATATACAATAAGATAATATCAGCAGAAAAATCCAAATATATGACAACATCTAAATACCCACTACGGTGTAAAATCGAAAATGATTGGAAAATAATATAGCCCAGGTTTAGATATCTGGGAATACATATAACTAGTTACGGAGATGTTGAAGAGGTAGTACGACAACAAAGCTTAAAAGCAAGTGAAGCTGCGGGTTTTAGACGAATAAACAACTAATACAAGACACAAAAACAAGAATCTATAATACAGCAATTAGACCTATATTAACATACACAGCGGAGACAAAACCTGACACATCTAAAACGAGACGACTGCTAGAAACAACAGAGATGAAAATACTTAGACGAATATCAGGGAGGAGTCTGTTGGATAGGGAGAGAAGCGAAAACATAAGAAGAGCATGCAATATAAATAAGTCACCAAATGGACGAAAAAGTATTGACAGACCAAGAAAAAAATAGTGCGACAATTTAAACAATTTAGAAGGCTAATATTGAAGAAGATACAGGCTTTAAAGCCTACATACCAGAAGGAAGAAGAAGAAGAAGATGTATAACGTGATCTGTTTGAGTAGGTTTTCTGTATATATTGTATCCAAGAGAATCTTTTTTACGAAATTTAGTCATATCCAAGAAGTTTAACTTCAGAAGTTTAATCTTACCTTTGTCAGATTCTGGTTCCAGGGCAAAAAAGATGTTTTACCAGGGTAAGAGAATGGATTTTATTAAGAGCGTTCAGAATCTGTAAGGCACTGATATGTTGCAATTTTATAAAAGGTTGTATACTTAAGGTAAAGTTTCATCTCTTGGTTCAGAAGTAAACAAGTTGAAAACATTAAAAGACACTAAATTACTCTCTTCAGATGTCACTAAAGATGCTCTGAGAGCAAAAATAGTTGGGCAACATTTATTAAAAAACTGTGCTCTATATATTTGCCTTTTATTTGAGTAAAGTTCACATATTCGAGCATTCAACCATACTCTATTACATTTCCACGAATCAAAGACATCGATTTATGGTAGATGAGAAAGATAAGACTTCTTATCACGTATTATAGCTTACGAGTTCTTGTATATATCACGATTTTAATAATGCGAGCTAATTATTTTGTAGACGAGAATTTTAAATACAAAATAATGACTTGAAATAATTATTACATTGACCACCAGCTGTTAAGTACTTAAAAGCCATGAAATAGTAATTTGCTCAAGCCAATAACTTTCGACTTTCCAAAATTTGTTTGAACAACCCTGTATACTCGGAACGCAATGGGTGCGCAACTTTCAACTGGTGAGTTTATTCCGCTGCAAGAACCTCAAGGTATAGTTTCTTATTCATACATATAGAGTCACCTATCGACGATTCCTCCAGTTGCTTGCAAGAGGTGAAAGTCAACATTGGCGAAGAGTAGTACTGTCCAACGGAGCATGCGCAGTACGAAAAAAGCACTTGTATAAATAAAACGAAAGTCTGCGATCACTTCTTGGCTAGTGCTTGAAATTTCAGCATGGCTGACAAAAGACTATGGCTGTGTTGTTTTTTATTATTAACAATTGGTAAGTTTTTACTTTAAGAATATTTCGAAATTTATTTAACATTACAATGTTGTCAACATGGTTAGCGGAAAATAATTTTTTATGTCAAATGCAGTTTTGATGGACTTTCTCTCCAAGTAGTAAGGTTTATCTACAGGGTGATCTAGTATATAGTGCTTACATATAATTTTATTAATTTATGTCTCACTACAGATAGCGGTCATTTTCACTAATGAAGATATTATAATATTATTACTGTTCTTTTGTTTCTTATTTTATTTTGAAGTAAATGGCTATTGGATTGATTATTTAAAAAAGGTGTTGGATACAAAATATATTTTGTATATAGTTTGTTTATATGAAAGATACTTGCGATAATTGACTGATTAGAGTTCGCAGATGATTAATATTGGATTTCAAATATTTCTACGCCGTTTAAAAAAAAAATCAGCTTTAGCTGAATACATTCCAGATGTGCGTCACCACAAAAGCCCTACCCTTTTTTCGATATTTATTATACCTGTCAGTTTACTCCTAAAAGAATATGATTACAATATTGTCTTCATTATTACTTCTAATGCTTCCTTTTTTCTCTCTTAATGTCCAATAATATGTTAAGGTCCAATAAACATTACATGCTTCTCACTTCTTTATATTTGAATGGTATAAATTTTTTGTCTCCTGTGGTAAATCTTTTTAATCTTATTCTTTTGCAGATTTTTTATCTATTTCGGCTTTTAAATCTTAGTGGACCAAAAAAATTAACTCGAACCATGTACTAATATTTACTTGAACCTAACGCAATCGATGCGTAGAATGTTGTACACAGCTGTGTGAATGAGAAACTCATTTAACCTCTTAAAACTACGTCTCCGTGAAAATGTGGTTTAGTGACAATACTTGCGAATAAAATTGTTATTTACTTTTTTTTTATTTCGACCTTAAACATAAATTATAATGATTTACCTCTTGGAAAAAAGTTTTCTTTGACCAACTCTCTCTTCGAAATTAGAACCATCTGAAATTTCTATTAATTGACTACATTAATTTTTAAATCGTCATACATTGATCGACATATTTTACTGTACAGAGCACAATTCCATCTCTTTTTTTTTTCTTTTTGATGATGTCTTGACGACTAAAGAAGTGTGAATATCTTATTGTTTTTATGTTCATTGTATGTAGCAACTTAAACATAAGAACTAAATATTTCAAGGTACATTACCATTTAATTAAGGTATGCCGGCTTGCCTATTATATATCAAATCGAGTTATTTCATATAATTGTTCATCATATAATAGAACTACAATGATATCAAATGCATCCAAAGTCAACCATTTGTTACACGTTCTTCACTAAAAAACTTCTATATAAAAGAATAAGTAGTAATTCGTCTCCTTTCTCGAAACATATTTTTTTCTCTTACAGTACTCACGTTCTATTAATGTGTTTCCTTTTATCTTTCTCATAACTATAGTTAATCTATTCATCTCTTCATTGGTTTTCTCTTTTTTTTAGCAAGTGTTTTCCATTCCTTTACTTGGTTTTTATTCTGTTGTCTTAAGAAAGCTATGTGAATATGTGTCCACGTTTGCCCGGTTTAGTGTATTTTCTTTTAATTTTATTTCTATTTCTGTTTTCTTTTTTTTCCGAAAATTTTATTATGAAGTAAATTTTATTCACTTTCTCCTCGCTTGATTCATATTTCCCGATCCACAATTTGGTATTCTAATATTAACATGTATTCTTTTATTTATTTTTAGGTCTTTTTTCATTTGTATCATTATCGTGGTTATTAATTTTTTTATTTGTTAAATTTTTAGATTTTCTATCCCGTTTACCCATATATCTAGTATTTATTGTGTTTACCAAATCAGGAATTTATTATTACCAAAATTCTACATACACCAAGAGAAATGTGGAGCTAGATGGATAAAATGGTGGATCTTCTTCTACTTAGGTCTATGTTTGGACATAAGCCTCTCCGAACTCCTTCCATCTGTCTCTATCCTGAGCAACATATTTCCAATTTGTTCTGGCTATTCTTTTAATGTCATCAACCCATCTCATCTGTGGTCTTCCTCTTGGTCGTTTAATTTCGTAAGGTCTCCAATGTTGTATTGTAGTATTTCAAAGTTGGTCTTTTTGTCTAGCAGTGTGGCCCGTGAAGCTCCATTTAAGTTTGGCAATTTTTGTTGTTATGTCATAACTGACTGTTATGACTATGAACGTATGACTTTTGTTTTTGATCTTACCCAGTCGTTCCTCTTTTTATCTGACAGTCGTATACCTAACATTGCTCTTTCCATTGTTCTTTCTATTGTGGCTAGTTTATTCATGTTTGGTTAGGGTCCAGGTTTGACATCCATGTCATGATAGGAACGATGCATTGGATAAACACTTTGCTCCTCAAGTATTGGGGTATTTTGCGGTTCTTAAGTATCCAGCTAAGTTTTCCAAATACTACCCATGCTAGTCTTGCTCTTCCAGTAATTTCGGCACTTTGGTTCTCTTTGTTAAGTTTCGGGACTTGGCTTAGGTAGATATTCCTGGACTTGTTCTATCTCACTGTCATTCATAGCTATACGTCTGGGGTCATCTGTGTTTGTAATTATTTTTGTTTTTTTCATATCCTTTTTTAGGCCGACGTATTGGGAACTGCCTGCTAGTTCCCTCATCATAATTTGCATTCCTCGAATGTGCTCGCTATAATCACTATGTCGTCAGCGAATCTGAGGTGGTTTAACTTGTTACCAATAACGTTAATGCCATAGGTTGACCAATTTGTAGTTTTGAAAATGTCTTCTGGGGCAAGGGTAAAAAGCTTTGGCGATATTACGTCTCCTTGTCTCACTCTTCTCTTAATAAGGATGCCGATGTTGGGTGCCAAAATTTCGAACGTGTATTCAATCATAGTGTAATCATCACGACCATGAGTCACTGGACATGAGAAGCAAAATTAAATATCTATAGAAAGATTTTACAGAAGATTTTAAAACAACTTAATGTTCATCCATACGTTCTTTAAACAACCCAAACAACTTAGAATAGATACATTTGTTGCAATAATTAAACACCGTTGTAAAATCCTTTTAAATATGATAATTTTCGTTTCATCACTATCATCTAGTAGAGCGACAAATATTTCTTGACCAATATTAGAACAAAAATTCAAAGATTTTGTAGATAAAAAACTTGCCCATTGATAGCTATTTTCAGCTATTTCTCTTTGCCAGTTATTTCGTATTTAACATTATTGGATGCACTTGTTTGGAGATTTTTTAAAATATAGGATTTTCAAAAAAAAACCTGCATTAAAAATATAATAGTTTAAAGAGACACTTGCAGACGCGATAAAGTAGATATAACAGTCCTTCAACAATAGTTGGGTGGTATCTGCCCCTATAGTTCTCATTTCGAGTAGGGTTCAGTATGTCCCGTAAACTTAAATATTTTAAGATCAAATTTAAGTTCAATATAAAGGTTATTACACCTTTTTGAGTGGCTACTTTTAATTGCTAACTATGTGTTCTCTAATAACGGAAATTGGGAAAACATTTTTCGAAAATAAAAAAAAATTCCCTGCTCCTAGTACAAATATTTTAGTACGGCATTATCTCGCAGATCATTATTTTTGTATTGCCTACTAAGTTATAAAGGCCCTACAGATCTATTTATTTTGCCAAATATTCCCTTCCCCTCGGACGATTTCTCCAGTTGCTGGTAGGGGGTGAATGTCAACATTGACGAATAGTAGTTCTGGGTAGCGGAGTATGTGCAGTGCAAAAAAAGCGCTTGAATATATAAAACTAAAGTTCTATATTTATTAAAATATAGGATTTTCTAAACAACCCTCCATTAGTAATCTTTTTATCTAATTAGCCTTCTTCGATCTTTGGACATAGGCCTCCCCAATCCTTTTCCATTCTTCTCTGTCTGTCGCTACAGTCATCCACCTAGAGCCCACGTGCTTCTTGATATCATCTGCCCATCTCATTTGGGGCCTTCCTCTGCTTCATTTATATTCCACGGTCTCCAACTTATGAGAATTTTGTTCCATCGGTCTTCTTTTTGTCTTATATTGTGTCCGGCAAATCTCCATTTCAATTTTGCAACTTCTTGTATAACATCCCTCACTTTTGTTTTCTCTCTTTTCCACTCGTTTTTTTTATTCATTAGTCTTATGTGCAACATTTGTCTGTCAATTAGTAATACAATGGTTTAAAGAGACACTGGCAGATACGATACGACAGATATAACAGCCCTTTAACCACAGTTGGCTTGTATCTGTCCCTGTAGTTCTCATTTTAAGGAGAGTTCAGTATATTCCCATAAAGTAAATATATTAGCATTGATTTTCTGTTAGTTCAGTTTTAATTTTTAAGACTTTTAAAATTAATACAACGGTTATTTCTCTTTTTTGAGTGGCTAGTTTCAATTGCTAACTGTGTTCTTAGGCTACAACCACATGGGACAGTTTTAGGGACTCATTTGACCCAACATGAATCAAAGACAAATAAATACTACAATATAATAACAACTTTAGAAACTATGCCGTCAATTATTATCGCTACTTAAAGCATGGTGTTCAAATTAAGGGTTACGTCTTAGATTTCTCACCCTTCTTCCAGCCGAAATATACGTTGTTACAAGAAAATAATCTATGCACTGATCCAAAACTTTGTGTATGAATGCCGTACTGCCGATAAGTTACATATCGGCGGCATGTCTGAGATGATTATTCCCTAGTTTTTCTTTTATTGATATACCTTCATTAACGTTCTATAAGGCATCTTTGCAGTTATAAGTCCAATAATGCAGTTGATACTCAACGGAAAGATCGGTGGAAGAAGAGGAATTGGTAGAAAGAAATACTCATGGCTCCAAAACCTTCGTCAATGGACTGGCTTATCAGCAGATGAATTATTTCATGCCGCACACGATCAAGAACGATATCGGCAAATCGTCATGGAAGCTACCGATGCCTAAAACTTAGGCACGGTACTCAAAGAAAAAAGAA